TTTTTTGAACAGTTTGAGATAACAATAAATTTTAAACTTTAAAAATTAATTTCTCAATAACTATCTTATCAAATTGAGTCAAATTTTTATCACTAGTATAAAAATCATTAAACTTTAATATACTAACTATTTAGAATTTTAAACTTGTGCCTGATTTTTTATTAATTTTTAATTGAACCCAATTAATTTGTAAAAAAAATTATTCGAAACTTTAGCTCTTATCTAAAATTTTTTCTAATAATTGAAAAATTACAAAAAAAAATACACAATCTAGGCCAACTATTTACTAAATTTTTGAAAAGTTTCAAGGCAGTAGCACATCTCTGTAAGCAGATATAGGTGCGGGGAAACTTTTGTCTGATATTGTAAATCAAGCTTTTTTTTATTTAAGCCACCAAATTGCATATATTATTCAAAAAATCACTTAAATCCAACCTTTTTAAAGCATTGATAAATTTTTCTCATTCAAAATTCACAATTTTTGGATTGAAAAAATTTCTATAAATAATGTGTAACTTCTTGTACCAATTCATTATTTTCATAATCATCTAAACCTAGCTGTTCTAAAGTAATATGTGATGAAAAAAATGTATTTTCTTTATTTTGTTTAAAGACATTGCTAAAGATAAACATGATCAAAATATTGATTAATATTATATCGATGTTTAAAAATAAATCAAAAATTCAGAGGAAAAAAACAACAGAAATTTAGATAACACAAACATTTAATCACTATTTTTCTAAAATGGAAATCCCTTCGAAGATGGGTTTTCCTAGTCCATTGCACATATATGATTTTGGCCGGAGAGCATAATGTCAGGCGGAATTAAGATTAGGATCCGAAAAATTCCAAAGAAAAATAAATGAACATAAAAGACGAGCAAGATCAGGCCGAAAATTTCCGATATAAAGAATTTTATTAAAATTTACTATGTCGTTCTATCCCCCTCTTTTGAGAGAGGAATGTAATGTAAACCACTGAATTAAATTGGTCCGGCCTTATTATGATTTGCATTTACGGTTTATTTACATCATTATATAGTGCGTATATCATTATGTCTTCTATTCTATTGTTGCTTTATAAATATAATTAGAGTATTACGCCTAATATTTGTTTTTGAATTGCCTCCACATTGTACGATACGATTCGGAATTTGAATTCTTTTTCTTTTACAAGATTATATACAGTAGGTGTTTGATATAATCGTTGTAAAGTGGGTATGTTTCCTAAAAGTTGGAATATTTGAGGTCATTAAGTAGGTGAAATATTACATTATATCATTGTGAATATTCTTTATTTTTTGCTCTGCTCAGTTGTATATGCTTTTTAGTCAGTTTATTTCAATATGTGTTACTTTTGTCCATTATCTTGCGAGGTATATGTCTTGTAGTGTTAATTCTTCAAATGATTTATTATAAAAGTTTCTATTTCTTTTTTGGTAAAGTCTTGTAAATTTTGTTGTCTGAATAGGATTCTTCTTCTTCAGAGTCTAATTCTTGTTCTTTTCCGTATTTAATATTTAATAAAGTATTATAGTTTTCTATTTTATAAAATATTGTATTGGGTTGTAATTGTAATTCTAGTGTAGTTATTTATTGTTAGTAGATTTCAGACACCTATGACTACAGGTTTAGGGATCTCTTGAGCTTATGTCAAAGCATCCAAATACTGTAAGTGTTTCCCTTTATTTTCTCTTATAATTTTATTTATTGGTCTATTTATTAATTTATTTATTTATATTTTTTTTCTTTTTTTTAAATTAAGGGGTTAGATAATGAAGACTCTTGATACAGATTATTACCAGGGATCCTTCTTGTCCTTTCTGCAATGAAAAAATCGTGACAGATTTTAGGTGTATGTACAGGTATTCTTTTTGAGACGCCCATATCCACAATCTTTAATTCAACTAATAAAAGAATTAATTAAAAAAAAACGTACACATTATAATAAAGATAACATAAATAAAATACGATACGTATCAGACATGTAATCAAACAGAACAATTTAAGGATAAATTAATATAGATTGATTATATTGGATATATGATGTGATGGAATAATTTGACAGAATATTAAGGAAAATTAAAGAAGTTAGCACAAATAGTGCAGTAGGGGTACTTCACCTTTAATTGTATAAGTATAAAGAAAATCACGAATACAAAGAATACAAATTAACAAAGATTCATTTATGCACAATAATTAATTTATGCATAATAATTAAGGCTCCAACTTATAAAATGGCACCGTTTGTCGGGTTAAATTACAACGTTTCACGACATATTATTATTGTTATTGTTATACATACGGAAGCAAATCCGATTTTTTGCTGTTATACTAAATCATAACTCCTTCAAATGATAACGTTACTGAAAGAACACTTAATTAAATTATTTAATAATTTTCAAACTAAATATCGTTCTCCTAGAAATAATCATCGTTCTCCTAAAACGATAACTTTACCGAACGAATGCTTTATTGAAATATTTGATAATTTTCGAAGTCATAATAATTTTCGACCTGATTTTAAAACCTTATTTTCATGCCTTCTTGTAAATCGTCAATGGTGCAGAATTATTATACCAATGCTATGGCATGAACCTACAAATTATATTAAGGATGAAAGGCTTATAAGAATATATCTTTTAACATTAAATGCTGAAGAGCGAGCTTTATTGGCCCCCTTTAAAATTAAATTTCCAAAAAATTATCCAAGACCATTATTTGAGTACGGAAGTTATAATACATCTGTTGGTTCTTATTTGGCTGATGGGATCAGAAATTGGCTTAGCAATAATGGATTTCGTGTAAGTTATGCAAGAAGCCATGAACTTACAAATGTTATCGAATGTTCTTTAATTACAATGTTTCTGCGAACAAGTAAAAATCTTAAATATTTAACAATTGACGGTATTCTCAATAAAAGATTAGCAGGATTACTTTGCAATAATAGCACGTCGTTTTCATTGAATCTTCGATATAATTATATTGGATCAGATGAAAGAATTGCATTAGGATATATACTTTGCAATAACGTCACGCTGACTTCTTTGGATCTTAGTTGTAATTATCTTAGATTAGAAGGAGTAATGATATTAGCAGATGCGCTTCACATGAACACATCGCTGACTTATTTGCATCTTGGTCATAATCATCTTAGATCAGAAGGAGCGAAAGTATTAGCAGATGTACTTTGCAAGAACACTACACTAACTTCATTGGATCTTAGCTGTAATTTTCTTAAATCAGATGGAGGAAAAGCATTAGCAGATGCACTTTGCAAGAACAACACTCTGACTTATTTGAATCTTAGCTCTAATGAACTTAGATCAGAAGGAGGGAAAGCATTAGCAGATGCACTTTGCAAAAACACAACTCTGACTTATTTGAATCTTAGCCTTAATGAACTTAGATCAGAAGGAGGAAAGGCATTAGCAGATGTAATTTGCAAGAACACCACGCTAACTTCTTTGAATCTTCAATCTAATTATTTTGGGATTGAAGATGAAAAAGCATTAACTGATGCATTTCGCAAGAACACTACACTGACTTCTTTGAAACTTTTATAAATCATATTAATTGTACTATAGGATAAAGCATATGGTATAAATGTAGAAATAATTTTAAAATATGTAACATAATATTAATGAAAGGAGAGCAGTATTGAGATAAATTAGTATAAGGTTTAAGACAAATACATTTGTAAATGCATGAAGGGCGGCTTCGTTGCCTTGTTTCAATTGACTAATAAAATGTCACACTAAAACCCACATATCTTATTAACAAACTTAGCACTAAATGAATCTCTAAAAAGAAATATACTGATATAATAATGGTACAAAATTACGAGTTATTTTATTACCAATTATTAGATATGAAATTCTAAAAATTTTTTGGGATTTATAAATTGAGGTATTTGAAATAGATCATTGAAGTTCGTAAATATTTACTACAATAAAAAGATTTGCTATTTAAATCAATTTAATTTTATATTTTTTATACAATTTTTAAAGTAACTTTTAAAACTACGAAGTATAAATCAAATATATATACATATATATATAGAAAGTTTTATTAGGATTGTAGGACTCTACACTTTAAAATAATTTAAATCACCTTGTATTTTTAGAGGAGTTAACATGATAATAACCTAATTATATATTTTTTCAGAAGTTTTTATTGTGCTAGCTTCTCTAAAACAAAAAGGGATTTTGATTATTTTTAATACTAGAGTCCTACGACTCTAATAGAACTTTCTGTATACTTTTTTTTGGTTTAATTATTCTTCGTAGTTGATTTTTTTTTTAAAAAAAGTACTTTAAACTGTATAAACAATATAAAATTACGTTGATTTATACAGCCAATCGTAAAAGTCTTTCTATGAACTATCAAGTAACTTTCTCACTGTAAAACATTACAATTTGGTTTTTGCGTATTTATTAAATTCAGGCGGAAATAAATAATAAAAGGGGAATAAAATAATGACAAAATAATGATTACAACACATTAAGAACACATGAATATACTGATTTTAACTATAAAAATGAAGTTTACATCTATTCGCATGTAGATATTCGTTAGCATTAAGGTAAAAGGATACGTAAACTGACATTTATGACTACATAATTCCTTACATTGCATATCTTAAGATATCTACATACAACGCTGCATTCCGGATTGCATTTGACACTACAACAAAATTATACTACTTCATAACTGTCGACATCTATAAGATAATGTTTACTCCGAAACTCTTAATTTCACTATTTCACTTTGCATTTTATCATGTAATTTCCGTTTTACCTGTTGAATCTTTGCCTAATCCATATCTGCAACTGATGTTGATAAAATACATGCATTATCGAGGGAAGGGCATTTCTGCACTCGCGGATCATTAATCTGAGCCATTGTAGTATTGTAGTATGAGTGGAAGGTACTACTTTAAGTATCTATAAAAAAAGTTAATAAACCTAATCAATAAATTCAATTAATCTAAAAATAAATCAAGAATTAATTCTTCGTGATCCAAATTGAACAAGATAAATAACACTAAGTACGCTTAAGAAACCTCCCATGTTAGCAGTAAGTTGAAAAAGTGTAAATTCTACTCGGTCATACCAATGTTCTACGGGTTATCCCTGTGATTTTTTTGCTTGTTAATAACATAGTTTGCTGAAAAGTTCCCAATGCTGAGGGCTAATACCAAATCCAGCGATAGCAAAACTTGTAAGCGTTGCATCAAATTCAACAGATTGTTGAATTGTTTGCCTAGTTGCACCCTAGTTACAATATACTTTTGGTCGACACCATACTTTTCTATTCTCTTAAAATATAAATATGATATAGAGATGGCTACAAAATTATGCATACTTAAATTATCATGTTTATCACGTATTAAATAGATACATTTATTTTCTTCAAAAGGTTAAATTAAATACCATTTTGACAATTTGAAACTTAGTATACCTATAATCTTTTAATTCTGTAAATGTTCCAATGATCATCAGTCATATTTAATTTCTGGGTGGCAAAAATTTAAAGTTCCAAAGTTCGAAAAGTTAGCACATATTATTCTTACTGTGTTTTTAGTTATTGTATTTGGCCATAATGCAATTACAATTTTTGAGTCGAATTATCAAATACAAGAGCGCTCCACGAGAGTCATTAAATGGCCGTGAAGTGTTTAAAATGTCTACCAAGAAATACAGTAAATTAAGATACTAGCAAATAGTTATTTATTTTTATTATCATAAATAATTAAATGTTACAACCAACAATTTTGTTGAGTAAGGTCATTATATCCGCGCATATTACTGTATTAATGAAAATTGTAGCACCAATCGGTTTAGTCGATAAGTATTGATCACATTTTATACTCTTTAAAAAGTTGAATTAAACTAGCCTTATGAAACAAATTTGTACTACAAAATTTATAATTGAATGTAAACATATATACAGCCGTATAATTATCATCTGTAGCGTTGAATTCACTTTTATTGCACTCAACTCGATCGTCAAATATATCTCCACAAATAATGTTACGCAACAAAGCTTCACAATTAAACTTTGCTTGTGTAACTATTATACTTTCATTATACTTTCGTTATACTTGTATATACTTTTTCGTGTAACATTTTAATAGTTTATGCGAAGTATAAAGTATACTTTAATTAGACTGTAAATAGACTATAGCATATTTTAGAGTTTATTCATAGATATATATAGAGCATTATGTATTTTAGTTCTTTAGTTCTTTTTTGTTTTTAGTGAGTCTTTTGGGATATTAGTTTGGAAGGATTATTAGTTTTAGTGCGTTTGGAACGTACTAGGTTAGTA